AGCTCTGCCCCTACCCCTCCCATCCCCCCGAGCTCTGCCCCATCTGTCTCTAGCCCCTCCCATCCTCTGCATCCCTGCCTCCAACTTCTCCCAGCCCTGGTGCGCTTCATGCTACCCCCACCCCCAGACTTTATCCCGGGCTAGAGGGAGTTGGGGGGCTGGGTAACTGGCCCTTTAAGAAGCAGGGGCCAGAGGTGAGATTTCATGGTGCTGCCTCTGCTGGCGGGAGGGGGAACTGCAGCCCAATTCCACAGGGGCCGTGTGAGGGGAGAGTGTATGGGGGGTTGGGCTGGGGGGCAGGGGGCTGTAGGTCGGGAGTGAGGGGCATTGGCAGGGATGGGGGGCAGGGGGCTGCGGGTCAGGAGTGAGGGGCACGGACAGGGCTAGGGGGCTGTGGGGCGGGCGTGAGGGGCAGGGAGTGGGGGCTGCAGGTCGGGAGTCAGGGGCACCTATTCATCTTTTTGAGGTTCCCGCATCCCCCCCATGGGGTATTGGCTCCTTTACCCATCATGCTCTGCCCTGGGCTTGCTCTGAACCCCCTTTCCTGCCCCCCCCTGCACGTGTCCCAATGCAAACTCCCCCCCTCCTCCCCCGCCCCCGCTCACATGTATGACGTGGGCGTTGAGGACGATGCTCTGGAGATACGGCTCGCGGGGGGGGCGGGGGCCTGTACGATATCTGATTGCACTTTCCCGGCCCCCCCCAGCTCTGGGGCCCTTTAATGTGTCGGTGACGTGAACCGCGGTTAATTACGGAGACAATAAAGACATGGACTCTGCAGTGCCCGCTTGGCTCCTGTCAGCGTGGGGCGGGGCAGGGGCCGCTCTCCCCCAGCAGTGCTGGGGGGCGCCGTGGGGCAAGGGCCTGGGGGGGATCAGCGGGGGGCACTTGAGGGTGCAGGGCCAGGCGGACACCATGGGGCAGGAAATGCCCTAATCTTCTTTGTCCTTAAACTTCTCCACCCTGTGCCCTGAAGCCCCAGTCTGGGCAGGAACCCAGGCATCCGGGGTTAATTCCCCCTGGGGCAATTCCAGGTTCCCCCATTGCCCCACCCCAGAGGTGGCTGCGTCTCACCGCCAGGCAAGCCGTCCCTGCAGGGTGTTATATGCGGCTGGTCCCCATCCACCCCGCCCCAGAGCTGGCCGCATCTCTGCGTTGGGAGCTGAGGCCGGGTTGTCGGACGCCCGCAGCGGCTGGCATCAACGTGCTGCCTGGAAAGGATCCTGCCCCCCCCCCGCCCCCCCGGCTCAACACTCCCGGGGGCTTGCGGCGGGGGAAGGAAAACAATGAAATATTAATGGCTGGGCTGGTGATGTCATCCATGCCCCCTGCCCCAGCCGTGTGGGGTAGGGCCCCGGCTGCCCCCCATGAAAAACTCTGACGGTGCCCCTAACTCCCGACCCCCAGCCCCACCAGTGCCCCTCACTCCCGACCCACAGCCCTGCCAGTGCCCCTCACTCCCGACCTGCAGCCCCATAACCCCCCAACTCTGCTGGTGCCCCTCACTCCCGACCCCCAGCCCCATAACCCCCCAGCTCTGCCGGTGCCCCTCACTCTCGACCCACAGCCCCCTGCCAGCCCGGCCCTGGGCTCTCTTCTCTCCCCCCCCTCCCTCCGTCTTCTTTATAGACTAATTTTTTTGTCAGCAAAATCCAATGGGCTGTGGAGAAGGGGGCAGGACAGAGAACCCTCCTGGCCAATGGGAGGCCAGTTTTCCATCAGCCAATCACGTGGCAGCTTAAACTCTGTCCAAAGTTACAAAGCCCAATAACGAGGTGAGTTCTGGCAACAAGTGACTGTTTGTTAGTTAGAGGAGGGGTCAGTACAGGGCAGGGACCCCCAGCACCCACGGATCTCTCCCGCTCTGCCAGCAGGGGGCGCTGGACGGAGTCTCCCAGGGCGCGTGTCCTGCGGAACTACCGGCCACTGGATTTCGTCCCTGAGCCGGGCTGGTCTCGAACTTGGATCCCACTGCAGCAGGGCGCGCGGGAGGCCGGATATTTGGTGCCTGGCTGGGGGTGCAGGGCCCTTGGAAGAATCATCCGCAGCCAGGAGACCAGGGTAGATGGGCCCATGGGGTCAACAACGGAGAGACGCTTTTACCGCTTTCCCTGAGCACAGAGCCCAAAGGCCTTCGAGCCCCGGGCCTGCAGACGATGGGCTACGATGCAGCCACTGCTGGGGCGGGGCAGCTGCCCGGACACTTGGGACATCCCCTAGGGACGATGCGGGTGTGAGGAGGGGGGGCGTCAAGGCAGAACAACCAGCAGGTCACAGGTGCAGAATGTTTTGACCTGCAGTGGGGTCTAGGGGGG